ATAGGCCCTCTGACACTTAACTCTTCTTTAAGGCAACTATCTTCTAACCGATGCGACTACTGTGCAGCTTCGAAAACGATTACCTGTACGCATACCTTGACCCGCCAACTTATCTACCCGTCTCGCAAGCGACATGCAAAGCAAGAAGATCAGAACCAAGGTAAATTCACGACCAAGGTCTAGCGAGTACAGACTCGGACCAGCTAGCCTACAAGGTGACTCGGAACGCGGTATTGGTAGTGCAGTACTGCAAGTGCCCGACTTGGGAAGACAACGGGTATTCGATCGCACGTCCGACGAGGACTGGGCGAAAATTCTACCAGGAACTTTCGTCTATACAGCAGAATGTTTGCCCCTGATCACATCCATCGTTCAGAAAAACCCGGTGTGATTTTAAGTTACGGCCAAAATCCGGGAGTGACCAAATATTCATTGCAGGACCGCGACGAAATTTACAGACTAGAGAACAGGTTCTACACTTGTTTGTCCCCACGAGACCTTGACGAAATTGCCGTTGGATTGGCTCCAGATGTCGATTGGGTCCAGGCAGGTGAAACAAAAAAAAAAGTCTTTAGTTGCCGGTGGACAATTCGCTTATAAATAGAGGCAGTGTCCTGGGGCGACTCAACAATAAGTCCTGTTTGGTATCCTGTAATTTAGATTTATGAGAGGAAGGAAGTTGACTCGAGGAGGAGTTTGGAAAAAGGAAAGATACCAATAGATCTTGTTCAGTACTGGTGTCATGTAGGAGTTAACGTGGAGGTGACCTTTAGTGTTCTCACTGGTAACTCGAAACGTCACCAGAACACTCTCAAAACGTCCCGCAAGACTGAAAGGTGTTAAATCACTGGGTACCGCTTGTACATTCTTACCAGTAAAGTAGCCAGTGAAGGTCACAGAACGTCGCGGAATGTCACGGAACGTCACACAAGTAACCAGTCAGTATTCGGTATAGGAGATACTGTACGGAGGTTGACATGTTGCTTCGGAGGTGTCAAGGAGGTTCACTTATGGTGTCAAAGAAGGTCGCGTGGAAGAGCATGGAAGAATGAGGATGCTTTCCGCGTTGTTGTTATGGTGTTTCTGCGCTGTTGCCTTTTTGACCATGGAGGTGTGTGTTGGAGGAGCGCTTTTGCTTATGGTGTTATTTTGACAATGAGGTTGGAAGAACGCGTACTGTACTTTTGTACCTGTAGGAGCGGTACGGCTGGAAGTACTGTAGCAGTACTGTACGTTGGAAGGAGTGAGTGCCGTGGAAGATGGAGTGCCTCACTTTTTGGCTGAAAATGGTGCTTTTCCTGACTCTTTTTGTTGTTGCATTGCAGTCTCCCATCCATGGGAGTACTCTACTCTACTCCTGTTGCCATGCTGCCCAGCAGCAGCTGGCCATGGTGGTTGGTGCCACCACACCTGTTTCTACTTTGCTAGCAAATTGTCCAGGTGCACAAATTGTGAGCTAATTTAATAAAAGATTAAGAATACGTACTACAAATAGCACTGGTGCCTATCCTCGACAGCAATACCAGGGCCAACAGCTGTTGCGTTCTACTATGATTGCCTGTTGATTCTTTTCAGTCTGTTTGGTTCTGCGTACAGTAGACTACATCCGAGGACCAGGCCAAGGGTACGTGTACCACCGGCGTCCCATCGTCGCCCGGTGGGGAGGGCTTACCGTGCCCTCCAGCGTGTTGTTGACGCCTGAGATCTCGCATCGTCCTCATAGCCCCGAGCGAGCTAGGGTTTTACTATGGGGGAAGTTACTATTACGCGTTGTTAAACAAAGCCCAAGTCATTGGTGACGAAACGAACGTTCTCTTTACGATCGCAGATAACGGTTCAAATGCGTGCTAAACCATACTATTTTCTATTTTCTTCTCCCAATTTCCAGACGTGAATTGAATCATTCAGTCGTCCTCAGAAAGACTGACATGTCGCTGACCTCAAATCTCCAGCAACCAGCCCACCGGCTAGCTGCAGTCGGGTCAAAACTGCCAAAGATGCCTCAACAGGAAATCCTCTTTCTCCTTCATCTAAAATCTATGAAATTGAGAATCTAAGAGGTCCTCCTGGGGTCATCCGAAGCAAAGGAACCAACACTGTCTGTCCAATCGATGGAAGCTTGGGAGCCGCCTATGTCCATTGTCTGGAAGGAGAGGACCAGGTTGGGGAGGCAACTCATATGCTAAGCTATTCCTGGAACTACACGATTAGAGATATTGTGGATACTCTCTCTGATTTTTGCCACCAACACAAGCTCGATCCGAAGAGAACCTACATTTGGGTCTGTTGCCTCTGTGTCAATCAGCACAGAGTGGCAGAGAATACCACGCAAGATGTGTCTGGCATGATAGCTCATTCTACCCAAGTTGACTTCTTTGCCATTTTTGGGGAACGAGTCAAAAAGATTGGACATCTCTTGGTAATGATGGCTCCATGGAACGCTCCTGTCTACATCACTCGAGTATGGTGCATTTTTGAGATCTTTACCGCTCACACCACTGATGGGTGCAAGCTTGACATTGTCATGCCGCCAAAGGAGAAGCATTCACTAGAGCAGGATGTGTGAGATTGTGAGAGATCATAAGATCCTCAACAACCTGGAAGGTCAGCATGCTTCCAATCCTGCAAAGAAAGTATTGACCTCAACTGCCTGAAATGAATTATCAAGAGGTAACAGTTGGGGGAGGATTAGATAGTCTAAGGAGTAATAACTCACAATGTAGCACTCAAACCCTCACGCTTCCTCTGCGCGTGCAACGCTACATGCTTCGAGCAACTCCTCAACTCGCTATAGTTTCTCTTACCTGAGTAGAGTCAAGGAGCACCTCGTGAGCCACTTGGTATACATTTCAAACACCAAGAAAAGAACCTCACAACTTTCGATTGGAGGAACCAACACTCCTTTACAGTCGAGAAAGGAGCCAACAAGATTTCTAGTTCGGAGTCTGAAGATCAGGCCCAGTTACCAGATAGGCAACTGAGAGCATCAAGGAGAGCTGAACAAATACAAGAAGCCAACAGACAGCTTCAGCGTACAAGGGATAGAATCCAAAGAAGAAGAGAAAGGCAAACAGGTCAGCAACAAGATCCAATCATGGACGCAGCAACCCTTCAAGCAGCTGTTCAAGCGGCAGTCGCTGCGGTGCTTCAAGACCAGGCAGTCATCGATGCCATCCGTCCCCAACCTCAACCAGCTGCAGCGGTTGCGTTTGCAGTGACACCAGCTGGGACCGGAAACGTCGCGTGGGATTTCAGCTCATCAACTGGACTCAAGATGTACATTGCATCAACCACCCCATTCCGTCAAGCATACGACGGAAAGGAGTCAACTCTCCGTGATTTCCTTCGAAAGATAGCCCAGAGAGCTGAATCCTACGGATGGACTCCCGTGCTGATGGTCAACGACGCGGAAGGGACCCCACGGAACATCACCATCCAGCATGCATGTCTGACAACGGAACTCGTGCAGCAGCATGCAGTCACCTACCTCCGTCTCGAAGGCAGACAGCACCAGGCATCTGCCTGCCTTCACAAACTCATCTTGGGATCGATCACGCCCAGGCTTGCAGACCGATTGACAACCAGATCAAGCAACTTCACGGTCAACGCTGCTGCAGCAGTAGCACCAGGAGTCGCAGCTCCGGCACCCGTCATGAAGGTGGACGGCGTCTGCATGCTGCACGAGCTGATCAAGATTGTGTCGGTAGAGACCAGGGCGAGCGTGGCCATCATCAGCAGAAAACTCAACAACCTCGCACAAGTCATGGAGGATGTCGAGTCCAACATCGAGGAATTCAACTCGACCGTGGAGGGACTCATCGATCAACTCCACTCCAAGAGTGTGGACATACCACCAATGCTCGAGAACCTCTTTGAGGGGTACACCAACTGCTCTGACCTCACCTTTGTCAAGTACATCAGCCGAAAGCAAGAAGCCTATGAAGACGGCACTATCGAGCAGCTCGAATATGGTGCGTTGATGAAGACGGCTCTCGAAAGGTACAAGATCATGGTCGACAAGAAGGTGTGGCTCAGGAAGACTGAAGAGCAACTCGAGATAATGACCTTGAAAGCTGAGATCGGATAACTCAAGAAAGGTCCCAAGCAGCAGAAAGGAAAGACAGCCACCGACGCCGACAAGAAGACTCCCAAGCAGGCAAAAGACGACAAGTATGCCTGGAAACAGGTAGCTCCCAAAGCCGGTGAGCCAAAGGAGAAAACCGTTGGTGGGAAGGAGTACATCTTCTGCCCACACCACCACACAACCAAGTGGGTGCTCAAGGTTAACGACAAGGGCATCGTCCACAGCACCGGATGCACCAAGATGAAGGAGGCACGTGAGGCGTCAGGACGTGCAACTGAGAACGTCGGCGACACGACAGCCCTGGCAAACGCCATCGAACCCGAAGAGGAGGCTGTCGAAGACGAAGAGCTCTGATGGTGGTGGAGTAGGGTCTCATTCGCAGTCACAATACTTTGTAATCACTATAGTGACCACTGTGTTTTCGCGTTTTATTCTCTGCTCTTAGCCATCATCGATGCAGTAGCATCTCTTCACCTAGCCAAGTCCCGGATGGTCCGTGCTCTCCTGCAAGTGGAACGAGGTCTTGATGAGGCAGCTAAGGATCAACAGGTGACCGGCATGATGTCATTAATGCTGGTCACAAACTTACATTCCGCGGCGTCGTGGGCGATTGACTTCAGTCAACACTGGGCGTCATGGTTCATCCTGGTCACGATCGTTGACCAACCAACGACTATCGCGATCCGTCTGGCCATTTCGGTGATCGGTCTTTTGATCGACTTGGTGTTCCTCATTTTTGCGGACACCCAATTCGGATCAGCTCTGTTGAGCATCACGCTGATCACCAAGTCCATGTTGGACTGGGCGATTAGTCCTCAGACGGCACCGCCATACGTACCGAAGAGGATCAGAAACGGACAATCAACCATCGTCAAGGCAATCAAGTCGACAGCAGTCGTTCTTGGGGGTGTTCTGACGAGCGTTAGCGCTATCGCGGTCCTCATCTACCAACTCACGGAATTATCCGTGAGGGAATCGGCCGACTTGACGGCCAACGTGACAAGGAACAGGGCGACTCAATCGAGTCACACCGATGACCCACTATGAATTCCAGGTAGGAACTCAGCTGGTAGGTGCACAAGAGCTGGGATGGAGAGCTCTGTGGTGGAGATCTCCTTCCACTGGCGCTGGAAAGGCCAGCCCAAGGCTGGCAGCCAATGCT